ATAAATATTGACTCATCCTTGTCACGATGTTTTACTTTTGTTGGCTCTTTTATTTTTTATTTTTCCTTCTTTCCCTTTAGGTTCTTGCCTTACCTGGTAGCTTTGCTCTGTTGGGCCTCATGGAGTTGTAACCTTCATTGTCTTTTCCTAGGATATTGCTTAGAATTGTATGGAATGCTGGTTTGGTGTTCATGAAATTTCTCAGGTGTTCTTTGTCATGGAAGTATCTAATTTCCCCATCAATTTTGAAAGATAATTTTTCAGGATACAACAGTCTAGGTTGGAAGTTATTTTCTTTTAGGGCTTGAAATACTTCACTCCAGGATCTCCTTGAATTGAGGGTTTGTGTTGAGAAGTCTGCTGTGATTCTGATGGGCTTTCCTTTGTATGTGATTTGTTTCTTTTCTCTAACTGCTTGTAGGATTTTGTTCTTCTGATGTATTTCTGGGATCTTGACTATTATATGTCTAGGTGTAGCTTTTTTTTATGATGGCTAGTTGGAGTTCTATATGCCTCACTTATCTGTATGTCAAATTCTCTACCTCTCTCTGGGAAGTTTTCTACTGTTACTTCTGTGAACAGGTTTTTTATGTCACTTGTAAATTCTCCTGCCTTTTCATGGACTCCTATCACTCTTATGTTATTCTTCTTTGCATCATCTAGCAGCTGCTGGATTGATTTCTCTTGCTCTCTTACTATTTTTAAGAAATCTCTGTTTTCATGGTCACTAACCACAATCCTGTCTTCTATATCTGATATTCTATCTTTACATTTGCTCAATCTGCTGTGAATACTTTTAATGGAGATTTTAATCTCCTGGATATCTGTTTGAATCTGTTTCATGGATTCTATTTCTTTCCTATATTGGGCTTTCATCATTCTTGGCTTCCAGAATGGTCTTGATCTCATCTATTTTTTTATCTGTTTCTGTTCTAGAGCCTCTAATCATGTCTTTCACTCTGCTCACCATCTCTGTAGTTATCTGGGAAATTATTTCTGTTTTGAGTTTTTCTAGAGCGTCATTCATCTGTTTTGTTACTTCCTGTGCTATCAGTTCAGGGTGTTCAGGTGGTTGATAATCATATTTTTCCACCTCATTTCCCCCAGAATTTGCCTTTGGTAGGCTGGGAGTCTGGATTTGTGTCCTGGCAAGGTGTCTTCTCATTTTTAATTCTGTTGTTAGTACTGTTTTTTGCTTTAATTCCTGGGCTGATACTTCAATGTTTCTTATAGTGAGTATCTTTATTACTGGTGTTTAGAGCCCCTATGGAGTGATTGCTTCTCAGAGATATCTTCCAGGTATAGCTGGACTTTTTAGGCTTTGAGTCTCTAATGACTCTTGGGAAATCTAGTGTTCAGTATACCAGGGAGGACAACTGATTAGATCAATCATGACACCTTAGCCCAATTGACACAATCAGCATCAACAATAGCATCAAACACAGCTTAGAAAATAACAATTTGTGGTAGCATCTAATCTGTCACCTTTAACCATGCAAGCTAGATCAAAATCTAGTGGCAACCCAAAATGTGTTTGTAGCAAGTAAACCCTTCAATATGCCAAATTTCCCCTTTGGGATAAGGATTTAGAAGGGATTGGGGAGAGAGGGATAGAGAGATAGAGGAAGAGGGAAAGGTTTGAGGTGAGGCTAGAGGACACGGGAAGATCACACAAATTGTGGAAATCTGTTGAAGATGGGAGGAAAAGACAGTGAAAGAACAGATAAAAGAACAGAACAAACTGACAACAATAGGGAAGCTAAAAATAGTATTCACACCTTCTTATAATAGTAACAGTCGAGAGGACAGAGAGAGAGAAACAATTCAAAATGGAACAGGAACAGGAACAAAGAGGGAGAGAAATATAGAGCCAGGAGCAAGAGAGAGAAAGAAAAAAGTTCTCCCTCAGGATATGTCTCTGCTGTCCTGGTAGAAAATGTGGGCAGCAGTGTGTGAGTCTAAGTCGATTAGTTTCAGCAAGCCAGCTGTAGTCTACTGAGATTCAGGCTGATTTCTACCTACAAGGTCTGAGTTGAAGTTCCTGACCTCCTGCAGGATTAAACTCTGCAAGGTTCTACTGGAGGTTCCAGCTGTCCTCCCCTGATGCCAGTCGAGGTTTCTATGGGAAGTGCTGATCCCACCAAAACCAGCCACAATGGTCCAATGTGCTTTTATTGAAGAGTTTTTCTTCACTTTCCCAGTGGGCTTCATTTTTCATTGAGGAGCCTCAGAAAGGCCCTCTCTGTTGTTCACTTCTGCTCTGCCTTCTGGGGCTCGTAACCATGGCCTTTATGTTCCCCCTGGTGCCTCTGCTGTGCGGATTCAGATGCTCCGTGGTATCCACGCAGCATGGTCCAGCGGGGTGCAGCATCCACACAGAGTGGACTGGGGGGTCACAGGCTGCAGACTTCCGCTGGACCGGGTTCTGGGGGTGCGTGGGCTCCATATTACCTCTTCTCTAGGATTCTTTGTGCACTTTGACAGAATGATTTTGTTTGACCTTGACATTATTAAAGGTTTTTAAATAAAATATTATTAAGTCAATTTTACTGATATTAGAAACATCAATGTCACGTTATCTCCTTTTTCTACTCATTCCTCAAATCAAAATGTGTTTCCAAATCCTTCTGATTAAATCTGCGTTAAATCTGGCTACTCTCTTTGTTCCCATTCTTACTTTCAGAATTCAGCCTTAATCTCCCACTTGGGTAATTATTTAGGGGATCTGGAGCCTGGATACTATAGTTTGGGGCACAGGCCTTGGAGTCAAGGTTTGAATCCTAACAACTTCTTTGTTTGAAGTGCTTAAACTAGTTCTATCTACCTTTCTCATGCTGTTATTTTGGAGCAAAATGTTTAATGATACTAATATTCTCAGAGTTTTCCCTCACCTACAATGAGTTTTCAATAAATGACACCCCTTTACTAAACATTTTCCCCTGCTCAAATCTTTTCTTATTATAGCCAAAAGTATGCTACATTTCTAAAAATAAAGATGAGGTCACTCTTCTAATTTCAAAAAGCCATGTCTATTCCTTACAGCAATATTTATCAACAACTTCCCTCCTCCTGACAGTTTGAACTAGTAATTCTTTGTTGCAGGGCCTTGTCTTGTGCATTGTAAGATGTTTAGCAGCATCTTAAATTTATTGTTAAAAGTCCAGCTGTTACAAAGTCCAAATTGTTAGCATGTGTTACTAGAACCTTCATGGTTGAGCGACATTTGTGTTTCTGCTTAGTTTCCTACCATTCCATCACATGTTCCCCTCCTCCACTCACACCCATCATCTCTCACAAGGCTATCTCCTTTTACCAAAGCTTTGCTCCTCTGTGGACTGGTGTTTCTATTCCTACAGTGCTTCTCCAGCGTCTCCACCAAACAATCCCTTCCTTCTATACCCAACTCAAATATCACCTCTTACCAGTTTCTTTCTCAGTGATGCTTTCACTTGATACCTGTGATGGTCAATCTTGATTTTCAACTTGATAGGATTGAGAGACACCTAAGGGATTATTAAAGAATATTTTGGGGTGGGTCCATGGTGGTGTTTCAGAGATAATTGGCATGTAGGCCAATGAATTGAGGGTGGAAGCCCTGCCATAAATGTGGGTGGCACCATCATTTATGCCACAAAAGCCAAAGAAGGAAGTCAGGCTGCTCTTGAAAACTCAATTCTGCTTGAGCAGGTATATCTTTTGCTGCTGCCATTGTCGTGAACATCACACTCCAACTTCTTTAGCCTTCAGTAGAGGATCACACTGGTGACTCTTTAGGGAGTTTCCAGGACTACAGCCTCAAACTGGGGCTACATCCTTGGTCCCTCTTGTTCTACAGCTTCCAGCTCCTTGGGCTGAGCATCTCCTAGATCCACTGGCTCTGGTTCCCCTGGCTTTCCAGTATATGGACACACTTGCCTCTAATCCTGTAGGGTAACCTAATAAATCTCATATATATGATATACATGTATGATATATATATGATATACATATATATATATACATATATACACTCACACATACAGCATCCACCAAAACAAGTATACAGTAGGAAAGGAAAAATTTGTTCATTTAATACTAAGTTTATTGAGATTTCATGAGATTAATACAAGTTACCTTTGGCCTCTACAATTATAAGAGGTACTCAAAGTGATGGCCACAAACTTCTAGACATTTATTAGTAGGATAAACTGCTGAACTTTGTATACATTTTTTTTTTTTGCAAACTCTATATATACATGGTGCTGGTCTAGACAATCCTACCAAATACAGTACCTACTGTTTTTACTTTACAATGTCCTTTCACCTACCTGTTTTACCTGCCCCTGGTATCCTGTGCCCCCTAGTCCCTGTGAACTTCTGTAAAATAGTAATTATAGTTTATTCATCTTTGTCCACCCATAGCTTATGGTATGGCATCTAGCATATTTTGGTAATCAATAAGTATTTTTCATAGTTTAGACCTTTGTAGGTCTTCCTTTCTACTGAGTCACCTCTGAGTATAAGTAGTTTATTCTGCAAACTAACACTCTCTTAGGCAATACCTTGACAACACAGTGAGTACCCCTTCAATGAACCCTTCTGCCAGGGTAGGAGGGCTGTCATTAAGTACACAAGCTCCCCCAAGCAGCTTCCTGTGTTCAAGTTTGTCCTATGTTTTTAACTGGTAAAAAGAATATTGATCAGATTATCCTCAACGTGTGGTTTTAAGATTAGCTGAGTTAATGGTTCTAAAGCACACACAAGCACAAATACAAGCAATAATTTAAAAATCATACCATGAATCCTGAAGAGAATACAGAGTTAAAATGTATAAGTCAGACTGACTGATATTTGCCTTATTTTTAAAATTTATTTTTAGTTAACAAATATTTGTATATATTTAGATATTTATGATGGAAAATGTGATCTTTTTAAATGTGTATGTATATTGAAGCAAGCTAATTAACACATGTATTACTTCACATATTTTTTGTGGTAAGAATACTTAAAATCTACTCTCTTAACAACTTTCAAGAGTGCAGTACATTGTTATTAGCTATAGTCTCCATGTTTCATGATAAATCTCTTAGACTTGTTCCCCTGAACTGAAATTTGGTAACCTTTGACCAATACCTCTTCAATTTCTTCCCAGCCCTCAGCCCTCAGCATCATTCTACTTCTGAGTTTGACTTTTTGAGGTTCCACATATCAGTGAGATCATGTGGTATTTGCCTTTCTGTTTTTGTCTTATTTCATTTACAAAATGCCCTGTAAGTCCTTCCATGTTGTCATAAATGACAAGATTTCTTTCTTTATTAAGGCTGAAAGTATTCTGTTATGTGTGTATACCACATTTTCTTTATCCATTCATCCAGTGATAGATACTTTGATTCCATATCTTGGCTATTGTGGATAACACTGTAATGAATACAGGCATGCAGCTATCTCTTTCATAAACTGATTTTATTTCCTTTGTATATATATTCTATGGTGGGACTTCTGGATAATATGGTAGCTCTACTTTTTATTTCTTGAAGATTCTCCATGTTGTTTACCATGGTGGCTCTATGGATTTACATCATAACAACAGTATACAAGTGTTCCTTTTCTCTGTATCTTCATCAACACGTGCAATCTTTCAAACAGGGGTGAGATGATTGTGGCTTTAATTGTGGCTTTGATTTGCACTTCTCTGATTAGTGGTGTGCATTTTTTCATACACCTGCTGTCCATTTGCATGCACTCTTTTGAGAAATGTCTGGTTAGATCTTTTACCCATTTTAAAGTCATATTTTCCTATTGAGTTATTCAAGATCCTTATATGTCTTATATATTAGCCCCTTATCAAATGTAGGTTGGTGAACCAAGGGGGAAATATTATTTGCAAGTATTTCCTCCATCCTATAGGATCTCTTCACCTCTTTGATTTTTTTTGTTCAGAAGCTTTGATACAATCTCATTTGTATGGTTTTAGGTTTTTTTGCCTGTACTTGAAGGATCATGTCCCAAAAAATCATTGCCCAGACTGTAAGGAATGGGAAAGGAAACATAACAAAACCCCTGCAGTGAGGACTGATCTCCTATGAGCCACTACAACACAAATTAAAGAATAAAGACAGGAAATGAGACTTAGAGAAGAAGCTGAGCTTTGGGCCTGATCAGTGCTGCTCTGGGCAGCAAAGACAAAAGCACCCCGAGCTTGCCACTATTTATTGGGTACCTAGGGAGTATCGGATGACTCGGAGGGCAGTGATAATCCTAAATTGATAAGGATCTTATAATCAAAGGAAGTATCAGATGTCTCAAAGGATGGCAATAATCCTATGACTCTGAGGATCTCATGCTGATGAGGATCTTAGGTCAATGAGAAGCTTAAATTGATTAGGACTATGAAATGAGCAAAATGTTCTTACAACAGTAAGGGGGATGAGTTTAGCTGATAAGGAATTTGTCCCTTCCCAGATGAAACCTTTCTACTTGGCTCTCAAAGACTCAGGATGTCTTCAGCTGATGTAATCTTGCCCTTGAGCATCATAGCATCTCAGGACCATTAAGGCTTCAAACAGCCCAAATCCTAATTTAATTGTGAAATGATCTTTTCCCCAAAGTTATGTAGTAAATTTCATAGTGTAAGCTGTAGAAAGTAAGATGCCCCAATAAGAAAGCTTAATTGAAGTTAAATAGGGCCTGATCAAGCCTATAAATATTTGTGTTACCATATACAAGTCTTTTCTTCTCTAGATGAGTTTTATCATTTTTTTCAAGGAAGAATAATAATAATGTCTTCCCTGATTTGGGGGATTCTTTTCAAAAATTAAATAAGTTGCAAAGACTCTGCAAGTTTTAAACTTTTAAAGGTTAATGGAACTTTTCATTGTGGAACAACCTTGTGGCTGATAGCAACCCAATGGGAATATTGTGGGACCTCATCTCCATCCTGGTGAAGCTCTGAGCAACTTCATTTTCTCAACACACAAACAAATTGACCCCATGTGACCAGCACTGTGCTAAGCCCTGGAGGAACAATGGGGCTGGTAAGTTGCCTTGAGTAATTTATAGTCAGATAGGAAAAAAGTACACACATAACAGTCACATCAGGAGATAGTAGGAAGTATGGCAAAAAATAATGGAGAAAGGGCAAAAGAAATATGCAGAAAGTGGGGTCTGACAGGTGGATTCTGTCCCCTTGCCAGACTGGTTCATGTGTGCACTGATAACTTCAGAGTCCACTTGTGCAGATTTCAGTGCTGTCCTCATGGAGCTGGGTGAGAATATGCAGAAGCTCAGTTCCCTTTCTGGAGAAAGGTATCTGGGAACGATATTAATGGTCACTATTAATCACAGCAGCATCCATAGAGCAGTTTCCTTAAAACATCCCTTTAAAATCCAACAGGATGACTCTATCTAGACTTCAAGGGTTTCAGAATTTTCATTGATTATTGAACATTTACTATGTTCCAGGCATGAAATTAGATGTTTTCACTAAATTATCATATTTAAAAGCTAAATAAAGATGGAAGTGGCTATCACTTAATTCCATTAGAAGCTTCTGCTCTCCATCATGAAGCTATTTCTATATCCTGGCTCTCAGCCCATACTCACACTACTTTGCAGGAATTCTGTTGAAGAAATCTGTTTTAAGCAAAATATTTTGAATAATTTAGCTGCCAGCCTGTGGATAAAATAATCTGTCTTTGGTAATGATTTTGTTTAAGTAACCGACTTTGGATTCTACACAATATTAATTTTTCCTAATAAAAATTCACATGTCTTTCAAAGTCTTCTGTTAGTATGTCCAGCAAATCTGTAACTAGGAAAAGAGGATTTGTTGATGTATTAGTTTTGTTGGCTTCCACAAGAAAGTACCACACACCTATCTCAAATAACAGAAAAGGATGTTTCACAGTTCTAGAGACTGGACATTCTAAATCAAAGAGTCACTGGGGTTGGTTCTTTCTCATTTTCTATTTTTGCCACCCCAATAAGATTCTGTAATAGTAGACATATTTATTTTTCTTGGACCTTTTCCTTGACCAATTTTATTAGTCAGCTTTCTTGTTGCTGGGACAAATTACCCAATGCCCACAACTTAAAGGAGGACAGGTTTATTTGGCTCACGGTTTCAGAGGATTCCATCCATAGTCAGCTGACTCCAAGGCAGGAACATAGTGCAGAGGGGTGTGGAGTAATAAAGCTGTTTAGTTCACTGAATCTGTTCCCACTTAAAGCAAACAAAATATAGCAGGTAGCTTTCTGTGAGATATGGATGTAGAGAAACACAAATGTTCTGTCATTCTGATCAATTGCACAATTCTGTCTATGCTAAAATGGTGAAGTATCCATTTGGTTTTGTCTGTACTTCTTCTTTACTCTGATCTAGGGAATTAGGAATTAAGAGCAACCTTTGTTGAAGACTTTGATGAAAGGAATTCCTTTCACACTAGGATGAATTAGTTTCATAACAATCCAATTCAGTTATGCGATTTAGTGGATTTTACTTTCTTATGCATTAAAAAGTCTTCCTTATTATATGAAGTTAATCTCTGGGATATGATAATCCATTACAGATCAGGGTATAAAAGTACAAAGCTGAATTCATTGGTTTTAACCACCCAAGAAGAAACTGAATAATGGTATCCAGGTACCTGATGGCAGTTGTGAAGTGGAATTAGTGTGTAAATAAGGGCAAAGCATGTCTGACTTTATCAGCTGTTGGTGACATGTATGACTTTGTTCACAATTATACCATTAGTGACCTGAGTGTGACTTTGGTCACAATTACACAGCTTCCATTTGCATTTTTAACTTCTCCACACAGTTTGTAAGTACATATTCTGTGGCCAACTCTCATCCTTTCTCCTGTGTTCTCACCTGCATGCTGAATATTGCCCTAAACTTATCTTGCATTTGTTTAAATCCTACATCAAGAACTAATCTTTTCTACCTTTCCTCTAAAACCAGCTTCACCTCAAAACTGCATTTCTGGCAGAGCTTCCCTCACTCCTGTGGCACCACCTGGCTTAGAATTTTCTCTCTCTCTCTCTCTTTCTCTCTCCCTTTCTCTCTCTCTCTTTCTTTTTTACCATAACCTCTCTCTTGATCCTAACCTTCAAACAATCCCAAAGACTAGAATTCTTTCTCTGCAGTGGCCTGCCTCAGTTTGATCTGGACAGTGTAAGGCCTAGGCCCAGACTCTGGTACTCCTGGGAGGTGATGGAAACTTTAGTCACTGGGGAGCCCCACTGTGATGTGCTGCTTTGCCATAGGCCCAAAACAATGAGACCACCAATTATGGATGGAAACCATCAAAACTGCTAGCCAGAGTAAAACCTTTCTCTTATAGCTGATTATCTTAGTATTTGTTATAACAATAGAAAGCTGACTAATACATGGCCCTGCCTTTCCACAACTCTGAACAGTGCCTTAGCTCAGGTCTGTATCACTTCATTCCTCAAAGAGTCTCCATCCTGCTCCCTCTGTGGTTTTGGGCTACAGGAACAGATTCCAAGTGCCCAACACTCATCTAAAAATCACACTCCATCAGCCACTCCAAACTCTTCTCCCTGGACTGGAGGCCACACTGAGTTCTCTGTTTCTCATTAGACCCATGAATCTGTTTCCTTTTCTATGATAAAATGAGGTGGACTTCTAGTCAGTCACATTTTTTTCTCAGTCTCCTCAGATCCCACAAGAGGCTATTGCTCCAACCCTGAGCTTTTTAGATGGCTATAACCCATGAGTTTATCTTAACTAACCTCACAAAACCATCGCCTTCTGGCTATTTTCCAATAATATCACTTCAAACTCATAGCTTTTCCATAGACTCAGGAAAATCTCAGGCCCAGGAACCTATAGAGTCTGTCTTGTTCTTATGGTCTATTGTGGTATATGACAAAGATTTTTCCGTAATGTAATGTGCTCTATTTCCAGATTTTTATTTCAAGTTATTAAATTAATGCTTATTTTAGAAATTTAAAAAATATAAAAAACAAAGTAGATATTTTTGAAAATCACTGAAAACATTTTGTTTTTTCTTCTTTCCTATTACATTTTTACATCTTCTCCTACACCTTAACTATTTTCCAAAGTTATTAAACTATCTAAACACTCTTCTGTTATGTAAAATGTTTTGCAATTTAACCAGTTGATTATTATTGGGAATTTGGCCTGGTTCTAAAACATTGCCATTTGTTATAAATCTGGAATGAATAGCTCCATAAATTTTACACACAATTCTGACAGTCCAGTATCTATTTGCCACAGCTTTACCAGCACTGGAGATGATATCTGCTTTTCAAATATCATAACAGATATAAAACTACCAAAGAAAGTGAATGTTTTCCTATTAATTTAAAAATTGTATTTCTTTTCTGAATTTTGAAATTATATAAATTGCCCTATTAATACAAGAATTTATTTCTAGTTCTCTATAAGGGGTCCTTCCAGAGTAAAGATATTAATTTTTTAATACATTTTGCAAAATTTTGTGTAAGTTGTGATGTGCTTTTCAGTAGCTAGTTGATATTGTGACATGAGATAGTTAAGCTTTAAGATGCTTAACTACATGGAATGTAGTGAGCAGGAGGTCATCTGTGACTCACAAAAATAACCTCAGTGGAAAGACTGGTATGGGATCTGGGTCATCAGAGTTGAAATGTGAATGAAAGATAAGGAATTCAAGAATCTGATGTTGCACTAAATAGAAGAAAGAAAAGGAAGGATATTTAGAGGAAAAGAAGGCCTAATGAAATGAATTTGTTTTGTTTGCTTGTTAGATTGCATTTTAAGCTATGGGAAGAAAATAAAAAAACTAACTGATAGAACAAGACTGCAGAAGAGTGAGAAATATAAAAGATAGAAATAGAGATAGAGTGAAATAGATATGGAAAGAACAAGAGAGTCCTTTTTGCAGAAATTAAAGGTGGCAGCTGAAGATGTGAAAAGACAAGTTAAGAAGATAAATTTACCACTTTCTTCTCCAGGTTATTGTTCTTTTGCTGCTAGCAGAGACCTGAATAAAAAGAGAAATGGCCTGAGAAATGGCAGCACAATATCTGCCAATTGTGTACAATAAGAAATACTTCTCCTTCAGACAAATGGATGGAAGACTTTTCATCTTTGTTTTTGTGTTTTAAATGTTTTGTTTTATTACAAATATTAGTGTGCATTAATTGTACAAAACAGTGGGCTTCATTGTGACAGTTTCTACATGCCCAGAAGGTGCCGTGGTAGTATCTGTGCTTCCCATCGCCCTCTCCCAGTCCTAGCCCAACTCCTTTCCCCTTCCCTAAGATCCTCCTTCTGCTTTCAGGTCAGCTCTTTCCCCCTCTAGATTCCACACGTGAGACAGGACAGACAATACTCCTCTTTCTGCGTCTGGCTCATTTGGTCTAACATGATGATCCCTGTTCCATCCGTTGTCCTGTAAATGAAATTGTATTCTTATTTAAGGATGAATAATAGCTCATTACGTATGTATATAACACATTTTATCATTGGTCCTTCAATGAATATCTAAGCTATGTGTGCATAACTTGGCTTTTGTGAGCAGTGCCAGGAAAAATATGGATATGCAGATATCTCTGTAGTTGCTGACTTTGTTTCCTCTAGGTACACCCAAACGTTATATAGAAGGATTATATGTAGCTCTATTATCAGTTTTTTGAGGAACTTATATACTGATTTCCTTAGTGGCTGTAATAATTTACATTCTACTAACAGTGTATAAGTGTTCCTTTATCTTCACATCCCGGCCAGCATTTGTTATTTCTAATGTGCTTGTTTGTTGATTGATCGTAGCCATTCTGATTGCATGAAGATGGAATTTAGTGTTGTTTTGACTTGTATTTTCCTGATGATTGAAGATGTTGAGAGTTTTTTTCATATAATTATTGGTCTTTTGCACTTTGAGAAATGTCTGTTCTCATTTGCTCATTTATTCATTGGATTCCTTGTTCTTCAAGTATTCTTTTTTTTTATTTTTCATTCTTTATATATTCTGGATACTAATCCTCAGTAAGGTGTGTAGTTGGCAAAAGTGTTCTTCCATTCTATCTATTCACTCTGCTGGTTGTGTCCTTTTTATGCAACTTTTTAATTTGATATAATCCCATTTGTCAATTCTTCTATTATTTCTTGAGCTGTTGCAGTCCTATTCAAAAAATGGTTACTACATCAATATCTTACAGTATTTTCCTCTAGTAGTTTCAAAGTTGCAGGCATACAAAATCAATACACAAAAATAGGCAGATTTCCTGTATACTAATAATGATCTCACTAAGAAAGAAATCAGAAAAACAATCTCATTCACAATAGTCTCATGAGAGAAAGAAAGAAATAAATGAAGGAAGGAAGGAAGGAAGAAAGAAAGAAAGAAAGAAAGAAAGAAAGAAAGAAAGAGAGAGAGAAGGAATCTAACAAAGAAAATGAAAGATCTCTACAGTGAAAATTATAAAACAATCAAGAAAGAAAGAAACACTAAAAGCTGGAAAGATATCTCATGTTCATGGACTGGGAGAATTAATATTGTTAAAATAGTCATACATCCAAAAGTGAGCTACACATTCATTGAAATCCCCATCAAAATACTAATGATATTCTTTACAGAACTAGAAAAAAAATCCTAAATTCATAGGGAAGCATAAAAGTCCCCAAATAGTCAAAGCAATCCTGAGCAAAAAAGAGCAATACTGCAGGCATCACATACTAGAGTTCAAAATATGCTATGGAGTCATTATGGTGGATTAATTAATGATCAACTTGGAATACCCAGCTAAACTGATCCCGTGTAGTTCTGGGCATGGAAGACCCACCTGAGAATTGTTGCCAACAGCATAAAAGAAGAACTGGAGGGGAAGATTGTATGCTGTTGATTTTCTTGGAGAAGCCTGCCCCGGCTGGTTTTCCTGATACAAACTCAGCTGTTTGCATTGTCAGAGGAGCTCAGGTCCTCACTGTCACTGGGGACAGCTGCTGTTCTCATCAGGGATGCTCTGGTCTTTACCTTCAGTGTCTCTTCCTGGCTCATCTCTCAGCCTGGAGGCACAGATCCTTCACCCCACTGGCATAGACTGTCTGGCTTCCACCACTGGCCTTTGGGCCTTCCTGGTGCAGGCTTGTATGAGACATTGCTCTAGGCTCTAGGCCTCTGGCTGGACTTGTGGAGGACACTGTCTTGGACCCTAGGCCTTCAGATGGACTTGTGGGGGACATTGCTGTGGGATCCAGGCAGGCCTTTGGCTGGATTCTTCTGGTCCCTAGCGTGTGGACAGATCTCTTACACTCCTCTCCATTTGACTTTTTAGGTGAATGTTATAAAATAATCCTATAAATTATGTGTCCTGTATTAAATTGTCTTGCAAATCCTGACTACAGCATCATTGCTGTGAAAACAGCATGACACTGGTATAGAAACAGACATGTAGACCAATGGACTACACGGAGCACCGAAGAATAAACACATGCACCTACAACTATCTAATTGTCAACACAAGAGTTAAAAATGCATGTTTGAACAAAGACAGCCTCTTCAACAAATGGTACTGGGAAAACTGGATATCCACTTATAAGAAGTTGAAACTAGATCCTTATCACCCACTCTGCACAAAAATCAACTCAAACAGAAGGTTGGTTTTTATAAACGTATGAACTTTTACAAAAACCTAAACTTTTGACTGTAAAGTAAATATGCAAGATTAGTTGAAAGAGCTGATCTAAATATACCTAACTAATTAACCAGGGCAAATATAAAATTGATTAAAATAGTTAAGGGTTTCAAAGAAAGTTTTTTTAAAAAATATTATTTTAAAGGAGAACAATGAATTGAAAAGCATTAATTATTAATATTTTATTAATTAATAAATTGAATAATAATTTCTACAGAAACAATTAAGACCAAAAAGTATAAAATTTCATTTTTAGCAGGTGACACCATTTCCTGAAAAATGGCTACTGGAGAAAATGTCGCCCTGAGTGCCAGACCTAGAAAGCTTGTCTCTGAGGAAGTAATGGTAGCACCACCCCATCAGCTCCCTATTTCTGCTGTACTGAATGATCACAATTAGTGACTTAAAACAACACAAATTCAGGTCTGGGAGTCAGAAGTCTATAAGTTTCTCACTTGGTAAAATCAAAGTATTAGCAAGATGATGTTCTTTCTTTACAGAGAAAACTCTTTTCCTCTCCTTTTCTCGCATCCAGCTGCCACCTGAATATTTTGGCTTAAACACCTTTCCATCCTCAAGGAATAGTATAGCATCTTCAAACTTCCCCAACATGTATACTCCTGACTCCTTCCATTCATTGAGAACCTCATGCTTGCACTGGGCTTGCCTGGATAGTGCAGGACAGGCTCTCTGTCTATAGAGATTTAATTTAAGCATGTCTACAGTGTCCCTCTTATGATATTAGTAACGTACACACAGGATCCAGGTACCAGGACATGGACATGGGGGAGTGGGATTTTTCTGCTTATCATAACAATCTATTCCATATTACAAGTAACTAAAAGGTTTCATGAAATCTCTCATTGGGTAATAAACTGTACAACTAGTCAAAGACAAATTGTTGAAAACGTATTTATATACTTTGTAAATAACTTACATTTTAAAGTTTCTTTTAATCTGTATGTACCTAACAGGTTGAAATAGACAGCATCAAAGACAGAGAACACCCCTCTGTGGCAGAATTGAGTTGAAATCCCTTGTATTATCAGTTTTCCTATTCCTGGGACAAAATGCCAAACACCCACAATTTAAAGGAGTGGAAATTTATTTTAGCTCATGGTTTCAAGGGATTCAGTCTACTGTCAGCAGACTTCAAGGTAGAAATATCATGGCAGAAGGGCAGAAGGGCATACCTGGTTCCTCCACAGCAGACAGGAAGCAGAGCGGGGGACAGCACCAGAGAGGAAGAGGGCCAGGAACCAGAGATAAATCCCAAGGTCACCCCTTCATGAGCCACCCAGAGAAACCAGAAGTGTGCTTTACTGATCCTCTAGACAGCTCCCAAGCCAATCAAATTGACTACTGGGCGTAACTGTCACACCCTTGACTAAAGGCTTTAAGAAGACTAAGAATCCAATGTTGTAACTATTCCTGAACATTGAAACAGCCAGACCAACCTTACCTCATCATCAGCTTCTAATAAATATGGAGATTCAATGTCTCTGTTTTTCCTATAGCTTATTCCCTGTTAGTTCTTCTATATTTGCCTGTGGTGGTTACCATCTTATCCTGTCTACTGTCCACCATCTTGGTCTTACCCTTTTGTGATAAAATCTCTACCTCTGTTTGCTTCCTATTTATGGATTGTCTCTTGGTCCTAGTATTGTCTACCAGGCATCTCTCTGCCCGTGGCCTACTGTGGGTATTGAGCCATTGACTCTTTCTCAGCATTTGCCCACCTGGCCAAGTCTATTTGGCAGCTATGGGAAGTGATCAGTCAGAAAACTTTGTCAGTTCAGGCTATGACTTTAGAGTCATGTACCAATTTGTCAAATCTGATGGGTAAATGAAAGACTGAAAATAGGATTCAGAACGGTGATAGTAACATTTAAATGTTATGAGTTCTTTACCAGGTACTGAACTATTTTACATGCATTATTCCTGTAACTTCTGTAAGAATCTAGTGAACTTACAGGGCCAAAATAACGCTTATTTTATAGGTGAGGGAAATGAAACATATATTCATGAAATAGAGACAGTAGTACCAAAACCTGAATTTGGAATCAGGATTCAAAGTCAGATGAGTGAAGTCTCAAGAGTCTGTGCTTGTGGCCAGCACACCACTCTTCCAAGAAGGCACAACTCTGAACAGTGCGGGGAGCACCAAGCAGGACTGGGTGCAGCTTCAGGACTTACACTGTGAATAGGGTCTAATTGAGTAATGACGCTATAGTGTGTGGGAGTGTGGGTTCTAGTTAAAGGTTCAAGGTAGTGTTGGCTCCTTTAAGGGTTCTCTGCTAAAATGCACATATTTGGAGGATTAGCAAAGCTGTTAACTGAGAGGGTTCTGGTGGAAATTATAATGATGATATGTAACTAGATATTCCTAGAAATCTTTCCTATAAAAAGTACACTGTCTCAGGGGGCAGCAATCAATAAATCACAGGACTCAGATTAGCAACTCTGCTATATTTGGTTAATCTGCCAACTCCTCAGAGGCCTAGTGAAGTGTTTGGTAAACATGAAGAAATGAAGAGGAAAGCAGGATGAGAGGAAACTTTAGAAAATGAGAGTCCTTATATTGAAGGAAGAGGGTGATTACATTTGGGTAGGGCTGGGGATGTCATTTTAAAGACACTGCACATTGTCAGACCTTGAAGAAAGTGATGGATACAAGTCCAAGGCAAAAGAACAGGAGCACAGGGCTGGGGATGTAGCTCAGTGGCACTGTGCCTGCCTTGCAAGCACAAGGTCCTGAGTTTGATCCCCAGCACCAAAAAAAAAAAAAAAAAAAAAAGAACAGGAGCACAGAGACATGTCTGGTTGGAAAGCAAATGTGCAAAGTTAAAAGGCGAAAGTTAAAGCACTGCAAAGAGTGAATTGTAGGGTTAGCTTTGACGGAGTGAGGAGGGATCTATCAAAAGCTCCAGGAGGTGTCAACGGCTGGGAAAGGGTGAGGGCTGGGCTGCAGGCTTAGCCTGACTTGCTAGGGCTCTGATGTGGGGCTAGAGCACGAACAGTTCGAGAGAGTGAAGTCGAGGATAACCAGCTCCAGGCTCACGAATGTCGGCGGCTGTCACTCAGAGGAGGAAGTGTGGGTGGGTCAGGCTATCAGGTAGAGGGGTGGCTTGTCTGGCCATGGCCTTCTCCATCCACTTTGGCACTTGTCCTGCCAGAGATCAGGGTCTCAAGCAGCATCTTCTTAACAAAAAGGACTGCCCCTTCTCTGAGCTCCGTCCACACAACCGCACGGCTGTCCTGCCAGATGGAGTCCATTTTTCACATAACGCACTTGGCAGTAAAAGAAAATCTATTTTAAGCTGACTGCTCGTTTTTCACGATGTGCATTACAAAATCACTGGTATAGCCCCATTTATTTATAACTGGACTTAAAACTCCTTCAAATACAATGAAGCTATTTGGCTAAATGCTGACCCCTGGGAGTTGGGTTTCTGTATGGGAGAGTGAGATTTAGATGCTTTATACCTACCTTAAAAATGTGGAAAACAGGCAGGATTCAGGTTGAAACATAACAGACTTAGTGGGGTCCTGACCCGCCGGATGAGAAGACCACACAACAGAAGGGGAGGATCTTGTTAGTGGGGTGGACTGAACGCTCTGTGGCTTTAGCTGAAATGCCTGGGGTTGCCTTTCAAATGTTTTAAATTTGATAATATATCTACATATACAGACACACACACATATCTCGAAAAAGCGAATGTGTTTGCCAAGATCTTTCCCTGCCTCTGTTCTCCAACCATATGGATTTTAAATGTTTGTAATCCATACATCTCTGGTGTCTCCTCACACAGCCTTCTGAGGACTGGCTCATATAGATTGGCCTCTGGGGAAATTTCTGCATAAACCTCTTCCCTACAAGTGGCCACATTTTCCTCAAGCTCATGCCCTAACCCTTTGCCCCATTTTTCTCTGAGTAATGTGGAATAAATAAGCAAGTGTTGGTTCTGAAGCAAAGCCTTAATTTACTCCCAATTCTCTATTTTAAGTACAGTGGCTTTGAGCAAGCCTCATGACCATTTTAAGTTTCGTTCTCCTCATTCAGGAGACAAAGGTAAGGCTCTAAAGGCCCTCTCTGTTGGCCCGGCTCTGAGTCCAGGCTGCCAATGCTCCCATCCAGTTAAAGTTCAGGTTTGCTGACTGTCCTAACTTGGTCCTAACCCACTAAGAATTGACTGATAAAAACCAAGCAAGGAGCCTTAGCTGTTAGGAGCAACACATATCACTGGTTACTGAGTGGGACATTAATTGGAAAGTAGTTAATCTGGGTCCCCTGGAAAAGATAGTAAGTCAACCTCCAATTCCTGCCCTCTCTTCTCTGCTTGTTAGCATCAAAAGTGCTATGGAACCACGCTAGAGGCAAGAGGTAGAAAGTCACTGTGACCCCAAAGACCTTCTTTACCTGGCTGCCCAGGGCAACTGTCCATAGTGCAGGTGCACACCAGAAACAGATTGAAGCCCCAACTGGGCTGCAGGCCAGCTGGTTAGGTGACTGCAAGTCTAATACAGGAATTGAGAGTTGGGGCTATGATATCAGATATACTTGACTTAAAATCCACTAACTCTTCTCCCAGGGAGCACTTTATCTAATAAGGATGCTTTGAAAATCACAAGTTGAAAAACTCAAACACAGAGGCCACTTGCAATTTAGGAAATTAGTTGAATGCATCCCATAGGGTAGCAATGGATGCCTCTGATCTTCCTTCCTACAGGGCGCAAAGGGTCTCCATGTATTTGCATCCCTTCATGTTTCCACATTTGCCATGGAAACTGGGTTGGAATGCACATTTAGGGCACACTTGAAGCTACAAAAAACAACATCCGAGAGAGGAAGAAATGCAGGAGAGGAAGAGAAGTAGTTAAAATCCAGTGTAACTAACAGGAAACACATGCTGCTGTTAGCACCCGTGGCCAATCCTCCTTTCCTGCTCTGCCTTCCCCAGCCACTCTGCAGCCCCCAGCGGCACCGTGGGGATTCCAAGCAGGGAAGGGAGGTCATCTATTGCTGAGACCTCAGCTCTGGGCCCCATAAGGCCCAGAGCTGTAACAATTGCATCATCTAGCTTTTGTGGGCTTTTCTGGGTGAAACTGGAAAGAAATCACATAGAAGGGCCTAGAGGTGTGGTTTTAAACTTTTACCTGTTCTTCTATGGAGCATGTGGGAAGAGGGATGACACAGGATGATGTCCAGGAAGAATGTTCTTGGGGTCCTGGGTCACCTTCCCTGTTTGAAAGAAAGCAATTCTGCTTTTGTCAATTTTAGGAAATCTTCTTAAATTGTATATGAAGAAAAAAATGCATTAATAGTAATGCCTTAGGAAAATGGCCTGGGCCCTGGGTGGGCTGATGGTTCTGAAGTAAGGTGGGCCAAGACACTGCCTTACAGGACCACACAGGGCAGTGCTACTTGGGCCAGGCACCACAGGGAGCAAGCAGGTCACCTGTCCCCAGCAGGCAGGAGGACAGCAGCTGGCCCATCATGATGCACAGTGCAGGGAAAGATTTCTGTGTCTGCAAAAGGACAAGAGTGAGCCTGCCGGAAGAGAGGTAGAAGCAATTACTCACCACTTTCTATGACTGATGCCTGCATTCATTGCTGATATTTAATCGATTATAAACTAACCTGAAACCTCAAGGGAGCCGTCAGCCTCTGCTGAAGGAGCCATTTCACAGGGGCACAGTCAGAGTGGAGGATTTTGTGGCTGAAATGTGTAGCACATGACCTGGGTCTGGCTGGCTGTGTGACGCATAGGAGCACACATGGGATGACTCATAGAAGTCAGAGAGGGAAAAGACCTATGAAGTCACTTTTTCCATCTCCCGGCCATCACAGGTTCTCTGTCTGCCAAGGTAGGATTACATTCAAATATTTGATGCAGTCTAGTTTGAACGGATTCGAGTAATAGGGCTCCCACAGCCTCCCCTGGGATCTTAATTCCATAGGATCATTGATCTCAATCTTCAGAAAATGTTCCTGATGTTCACTTTAAATTTTCCTTTGCTCAATTTCATCCCATTAATCCTCCTTATTACCCCTTGGGCCACCCTAAATAATATCCCTTCTACTTTCATGTTGACATTCCTCCAACATGGGTAGGCAGGAGATGAGGGAATACAGAAATGTCTTCTTGGCTTGGCTCGTGGTTTTAAGTATAAAATGAAGAATAAAAATGTTCTGAGTAATAGCTAAAAATGTCGAGGAGACTATGTATTAAATGAAAAAGGATTTTCCAGATTGCCTGAGAATAGTTCCCACAATCAATGACAGGTGTTTCTGAGTTTAACTTTAGACTCTTAATGTTCAGAGTCAAAGGGTAGCAAAGATGAAATGTCAAATAATCTGCCACACTGCCACGTAGGTGGATAACAGGCTATGTCCTCTTAGCCTTTGGGGGAGATAATTCTATATAATCTTCTGATTATTTTCCCCCAGAGTGGGAGGATCACTTCAAGTAGCACTAAACCACATCAGTTAAAGTCACACTGAGTAATGTCCCTTCTCAGGGCCCCAGGCAGAGATCTGAGAGGTGGTAAAGTCAGCCTTGGCCAAAATGTAAGGCTCCACAAGGTGAAAGCCAGAGTAAGATTCTGAGAACCTTTCAGGTGTCTTTCGGGTGCTAGTGTGCTTACTACAAAAACACCACTGGGTTCATTGCAGATGGACCATGATTCGGAATCCAAGCCCAGAACCTGGAAAGCTGCATGGTAAACAGGTGCCCTGACGTGGGAGGAGCCTGGTTAAGGGGGTGACTCTAAGCCAGTGCCTTCAGCAAACCCCCTGGATCAAACTAGGTTGACTAAGCCAGAGTCCAAAGAGCAAGGCTGTGGCTGGCAATGGTATAGAAATTATGGATTAAGGATGAAATAAGATCAAGACAGAGAGCAGAGGAGGGTGGGTGAGAAGTTATGAGAAATGAAAATGCATTGCCTGTGGCTGCTACTAGGAGCACTGTGTGGGCCCCTGAGGTTCTGCTGAGGAGTGAAATGGCTGGAGGGGACCAAGTCTATCTGAACATCATCTCAGCTGAAAATGCTGACTTTCTAACATATTCTTTGGATGTTGCACAAATTAATGTATGGGGGAAATTTTACTGTGAGGAGGAAGAAGAGAGAAAAATGTTATATTTCAAATCTGTAAACATACACATCTTTTAGGAATCTCAAACATGACTCTGAACTTCAGTTATGAAAAAGTAGCTTGTAGAGCACCCACATTTCAGCCCAGGGCTTGAAACACACTAGATAAAATGAGATTCTTTTTTAAATTTTATTTTTAGCTGAAGTCATTGGTGAGTTACAAAGCCAAGAAAGACTTTGGGGAGTTAGGACCTAGAGTCAAAGGAATCACAGACAGATGGGTTGATATTCTCCAAGGTGTTTACCCCTAAACAGCATTTGCTGATTCTCAGTAGCAAGAGGCTAAGTGTTCAGGCAAAAAGGCAGTTCCAGAAGTCAGCAGTCTTGAGCAATATTCTGGCAACAGGGAGACAAGTACTAGAGTTTGAGACTACCCACGAAGCCAGAAGTTGGAAGGTCAAGCCCCAATCAATGGAAACACAGGGGAATGACACAGACATGTTCTGAATCCTGGTATTGCTCTAGACCAGAGGCCAAGGAAATAAACAGAAAATGGTCACCAGCAGAGTTTTTGGATGCACAAGGTAAAAAATAAGACAAAAAAGTGTACGTTTGGATTTGTCAAGATGGAACAGCCCTGCCAAACACCTCAGATGTTGAGCGGGGATTCCCTGGTGTCACGGAGCAAGGACAAATCACAGAGAGAGATTTTAAGAAACCTGCAGCCCAGCCAGCCACGACTCAGCTCACCTTGACTGGATTAAGGTGATCTACCACATTTAGCCCAGCGCTGGGTCAAAGGTTAACAGGCACATGGAAAGAGTATAAAGAGGAAGAAATTCAAACAGGCACAGAGATGACCCAAATTTTGAAATTGTCAATCGTAGATAAGTTTGAGAAGTTCATCTGTGAACTGGAACCTAGATTGTTTTAAAAAGAAATCAAATGTATATTCTAACAAAAAGCTGCAATAGTTGAAAATAAGAACTCAACATGTGAGTTTAAAAACTGCTTTGAATTGCAGAAGTGAGCATATATGACCGGAAGACAGATCAGTAGAAAATAAAACCGGCAAAAGCAGGATCAACAAAAAGGATTGAAAATAAAGAAAAGAGCAAAATAAATATGTGGAACATGGCAAAGAGATCTAAGGAGAAGAACAGGATAAATCATATTAAAAAAGCATTTATTGGGCTACCCACTTGGGACCCCTCCTGGCCCTCAGGAGCTTTCCTATCAATAAATATCTTCCTACTTAAAAAAAAAGCAATTATCATAAAATTTCCAAAATGAAAGAACAATATGAAGCAATAGAAGTGAAGCATACAGTCTCTAAGACAATCACTTATATATACCTAGAAAGATAATAGGAATGAATAGTAAGTATAAAAAAATATGGTTAATCAAAAACAATGCAAGAAAGAAGAAAAAAGAACATAGTTAACATCTAGGGCAAACAGAAAACAAATAGATAAATATGAGTATTAATGTAAATACAGCTATGTCAGTAATCAAATTAAATTATAGACAAAATATATTTAAGAAAGAAAATTTCAGGCTGAATTACCAAAACCAAAAGGAACAAACAAAAAAATTCAACTAAATGATGCCTATAAGAAACACAATTTAAATGTAAAGAAACAACAGGTAATGGGGGAAAAAATAAGAACTAAGATACATCATGTTCAAGTACAAGCACCCAATGATAAATGTAAATGTATTGTATACCTAAAATGTACCAATAAATACATAAATAAAAAATACATATAAAGAAACAGATAATTTATAAATAAGAGAATGAAAAACTATACTATGAAAATACCAGACAAAAGAAAGTAAGATTGTGTAAAATCAAAGTATAATTAAAGATATAAAATATTTCTGGAGCTAATGGGGATATATCAGATATATAATGGCAACAATAGTATCAGTACTGGGCCAGGGATTTAGCTCAGTGGTTCTGCCACCTGCCTCAAAAGCACAAGGTCCCAAGTTCAATACCTGGTACCAAAAAAAAAAGTCTCACTAGTTCAGTAAAATCTAATAATTCTAAATTTGTATGGACTAAATAACCTAGATAATATAATAATACAAAGAAACTAAAAGAATACACAAATCTACAATTGTAACTGTAGACAATAACATAACTCTTTCAATAATAGTAGAATAAGAAGTCTTGCACAATTTTCAAACTGCATTCAGATATCAATGATTAGTAGATCAATTATACATTTTATTTATACATCAGAAATAATGAAAACCAGAGTCAGCAGGACATTTTTAAATTGTTGACAGAAAATAAGTCTGTCAAGTCAAAATTCTTTAACTAATGAGAAGATTCTCCAAAAGGAAAGCAAAATAAAAACATTTTCAGATAAAATAAAACAGAATTTGTCTCACCAAATCTATTCTAGAAGAAATTTAAAGTCAAATTTAAGACAGAAGGGGAATATTACCACAGGAAAAGCTGGATTTTCAAGAACAAAGAACTGCAGGAATTAAAAACAGTTAGATAAAATTAAAAGACTTTCTTTGTTTCTTTACCCATAGAGCATAACACTGGATTCCACAAATCCACCCCATACTTTTATACTGTTAATTTGTACTTAGGCATAATAGTAGCAGGCTATGTGTCTCAGTAGCTGTGTCTGGGGATACAGGAAGCAATCTTTGTGTTTACCCACTTGGTACAATGAAAGGCAAAGTATGTGCACCTGTGAAAAAGTGTCAAACCAGGATTTTCACCCACATGATGCTCCTTCTAATGGATTTTGCATATGTTTACCTGGGCATCACAGAAGGTATAATACACCCACACCACTCTGAGGTTTGTTTCAAAAACAAGTTTTCTTTTGTTTTTTCTGGTAGAAGTAGCCCAATTCAGTACGATGGCACATGAAAAACGATATTTGCAGGTTTTGGAGGAGGTCAAAAGTGAATCATCAGATTACTCATGCATGGATGATGAATATGATCCATTATGATAAAATGCATATTTTCATAACAGAAGAGTGGGGTGGGTGTATGATGATAATGATGATTACTTTGACACTGGCCATGTGAACCGAAGTTTCTGTGACAGTAAATGGAGGGAGAATCAACTGATATAGTCACACAGGGAATTCAGACCACCTTGATTAATATGATGAAGAAAATAGCAATGTGAGTACATATTTGACTAGTTGAAATGTTGCAAAATGGTCATACAATTAAATGGAATTATCCAATGTTAGACCTAGGTTCAAAAATATAGTGAGGGTTTTGACAGGGGTGAAATGTATTGGACAGAATGCCAGCACTTTCATTCAGTGTTGTAAATTGTAACAGACAAAATGCTACAAGATACTGTGAAATACACAGAGGCTGAAATACAAGTAAAACGTTCTGTATGCACCAATAGCCATATTCAAAAATGTATTTATTATGACACCTCACTAGTTGAACTAAAAGCATTCATAGGTTTGCTGTACTTAGTGTGGATTTCTCATGGTAATTGTAGGAATGCAAAAGGCTTATAGAAAAGCAATGGTTCAAAATATGGCATAAAAATTTACTCCCTTGTAGATATAAAGACTTATTATGCTTTTAATTTAGAAATTTATCCTTGAATTCAGC